AAAGTTGGCTCCAAGCTTCTGTCGTCGCGGCGACTCCAGGGTTTAAGTATAAGAGATTGATGGTTTGTGTTTCACATTTTTTGTATCAATGTTTGATTTTGTTTCGTTTCGATTTTAGTTTTGCATGAAGAATAAGCAAATTGCAGGTAAATAAAAGGTACTTGAAAAGTAAAATACGGTAAAATCCTGTAGATAACCTGTAAAAGCTTCCCTGAGCATCCGTTACTGTTGTGTTATTAATGTTGCGAGCATAGTATGATTTACAACAGATTTAAATTAATTTGCAAGAAAATTAAACAAGACGAGAAAACCCAACCTGAAAGTCAGAAAAATGAGTTGTAAAAATCACGAGCAAAAGAAACTCTTAGCCACATATGACAGATCAGGATTGTGTATAAGGCATTGGTAAGAGTGAGGGCTCAGAGCTAGGCTGTGTGATTCCCGATCTTGAATAAGAGTTACCAGCCCGATAATCTACAGAAGACAGTCCTTAACCTCAATCCAAGTGACTGGTCGTGGACCTTTATAAATTTTCATAGAAAAATGCAAATGTTGTTTAAGTCTTTTTATGCAGAGTTCTTTTAATCATGCAAAAGAAATTTTTTATTTTATTTTTGTAAATATTTTGTAAAGTCGTACAGTCCACAGATTAGTCACTCTAATCGTGCTAGAACTACTGACAACCTAAGAGTCTCGAGGGCAACGATTCCACCAAGAATTGGCGAATAGTATCATGGATCTTTTCCTCTCCCTTATTGAAGATTTTTGTGGTAGTTTAAGCACACATAAACAATGTCATTATCGCCCTCGTCACTTAGAACCTAACTCATCCTAGTTCGATGATCCATATGTGACGTTAACAAATTTCCCCAATTGCCATGAGGATTTGAGTGTAATATCCAAGCTCAAATATTGATGCACTGGGTTTCATTATAGGTTAAGTCACTGCGGGAATCTCACTGTTTGATTTAATCAAAGAAGTCGTGAACCACATCTTGGTGCATCCTCATGTCTAGTGTCTTAATCAGTTTGTAAATCAGGGTCAAGTGCCAAGTTTTGTTATTTATTAAAAAATTAAGTGGATAAACGCTCACATAAGGTGTGCTCATAAAATCTAGGAAGTCTACGTTGAGAATTAGGTGGATGGACTCTCACACAGGGTGCGTTCCTAAAATCTAGGAAGTCTGCTGAGAATTAGGTAGATGGACACTCACCTAGGGTGTGCTCCTAAAATCTAGAAGTTTATGCTCAAAATTAGGTAGTTGGGCTCTCACCTAGGGTGTGCTCCTAAAATCTAGAAGCCTATGCTGAGAATTAGGTAGATGGACTCTCACCTAGGGTGACTCCTAAGATCTTGAAGGCCTACACTTGTGCTTAAAGTGATTTAAGGTGTTCTACCTCCAATTAAGTGTTTTCCAAATAATTAAATCAGAAAATCTCATTTTTCGACTTGATCATTTAAAAAGAAGTAAAACAAAAGAAAGATGAGGCAGACCCACTTCCAAAACTAGTAAAGTCAATGCGGAAAACAACGTGTGAATCGACCTAAAAGCGTTTAAATAACAATCAATTGAAACTTAAAACAGTGGGCAAAAAAGGCGTCCGTAAAACCAATTCTAAACCGCATGTAAATCAACACTAAAAGACTACATAACTCTCGCCAAAATAATGCGTAGATTGCCTCAAAATCAGCCCACTAAAATGCCTCAAAACATTGATTAAAACAACCCCGCAGATGGTGGGTTTAATGCCTCCAAAACAGTAAGCAATGCTTTCAAAATCAACGCCAAAACAATAGACAAAGATCTCAAAATTAGCCCTAAAACAGTTATTTTAAAATTCCCAAACAGCTCTTATGTAAGCTCAAAACATTAATCTTAAATGTCCCAAAATAAGCTAGGAAATCCAGTCCAAGATAGTGTTTAAACTCTCCGAAATCAGTTAACAAACTGGCTCTAAAATAGTACGTGAATAAGTAGGCAAAGCCCTAAAAAAATCGCAATGTTTAAACTCATCAAACAACAGGTAAAACAACTCTCAAGGGAGGCATTCAGAAATAAAAGAACATAGACCCGCAATGAAGCATTCAAGCCATAGAATAACGGTCATCTTGAGCCTCGTAGTATTTTCTTTCGAGTGCTCGAAGCATGAAATCAACAAATGAGTATTTAAGATCAACAAGTAAATGGTCATTAGGACTTCACAATATTGCATTTAAGTACTTGAAACATAAACCAACAACGGAGCATTTAAAAACAGCAAGTAAATGATCATTGGAACCTCACAATATTTGCATTTAGGTACTTGAAACATAAAACTAGCAACTAAGCACTTAAAATTAGCGATAGCATATAATTGAAATATTGTTTATATTTCTCCAAAATTAGTAAGAATGTATTCGTGTGGAGAGGATAGCTGGAAGAATATACATGTCCTTACCTTACTTCGACACAGCAGGGACACAACCAGAAATGAAAAGGAATGGGATAGGGAGGTTGTTGTTCGCTGGCAAGAAGGAGGCTAGTCAGGCGTGGGTAGGAGAGCCGACGAGAGAGGCGAAGCCGAGCAAGAAAAGAGAAGTCGAGTGAGAGAAAGGCTTCGGTGCAGAGGGGAGGCGAGCGAGGAGGCGAAGCAGGCGTGAAAGGAGGGAGTCGAAGCAGGCGACAGAGAAAGGAGTCGAAAGTCTCGGTGCAGAGAAGATCAAAGCAGGTGAGCGGGGCTTCGATCGAGACAGGAGAGGCGAGCGGGCAGTAAGCCGATGGGGGTGAGCGGGAGAGAGGAGCTGTCAAGTGCGAGTGGGATCTCTCGAGAGCGGGACTGCGAGCTAAGAAGAGGCGCGAGGAGGAGGGCGAGCGGGAGAAAGGAACTGTCGAGCGCAGAGGGAAAGCGGGATTGAGCGATTTCGGTGCGGGAGAAGGAA